TTATATATAATATTAATTTATTAATTTAAAAAATAATTAATTAATAAAAAATATTATTACTAAAAACAAATGAAGTAAAGGAAAAAAAAACATGCCAAGGCGTGCAGGACCTACAGGTGCAACGCCACCACGGAAGCCCGATGACAAACTGCGTCAGGAAGTCATTAACGGTGTTTGTTAGATTTGACGGAAGTTAGTTTTCCCGTCCAATCGGGACCTTATTTGAGAATTTCGTAGAGTTCGGGACCTTAATTGAGTGCAATTGAAGTTTGGGTCCAACATTGCGAATTTTGTATAAGTTTGGGTCCTTATGTGATATTTATGCCTTTTGCAAAACTCAAAACACTTGATTGAAACATAACTAATAAACTCAAGTGTCTACACTAGTAGAATACATGAGAAATAACAACAATCAGATAGATCATTCACAAAACCAGTTGCTGCTAATCAGATTTATCATATCCATTGATACAGCCATGCCGACAGAACTCATGGTTTGCAATGTTCCCCGCATGATGCACTTAGCCTCATATTAGATTTTTTTTTTTTTTAAATAATATGAGTATATAAATTTTTACTCACAAATATTGTAAGTATTTGTAACTGACATAAAATAACCGGTTTAATATTGCAAACTAATAGAAACTTAGTACGGTTCATATTCATGGTTCAAGTCTCCATTGCTCAAACGCCCGTTCAAGATGAAAATTTAAAAATAATTAATTAAACAAATAGAAAGGCATGCACTTGACGGTTTTGTGTAAGAACTAAGGATTAATTCTTTCACGTTTTAGTCTGGACATTTTAATGGGAGTAACAATAGAGACAATTAAAATTTGAGATAAATTAATGAGATGGCTTATATTACGTTATTAAATTAATTAATATATATAATATTATGGGTTTAGAAAAAATTGTTAAATAATATAAAATTTAAATTTTAATATTTTAAATAATGTGACTTATATTATGTTATTGGTGTTAGATTTTGGTCCTATTTATGATTATTGTTTTAATAGCTTGCCCAAATGCCCACTTGCACAAGCATGCGTGGTGACTCATTATGTAATTTGTTGACTATATTTACATATGGTTAAAACATCAGTTTGGTGGCTCAACTTTTATAAAAGTACCATGTTGGCCCTCTCAACTTTTATATAAGTACTTTGTTGGTCTCTCAACTGACAAAATTTTCAATTTAGTCCTTCTATTTTTTTAAAAAAAATTTAGCCGAGCCTTCGAGTTCATTTTAGTCCTTCTAGTTTATTGTTTTAGCTTTTTTTATCCCTTCATCACTTATGTGATGACATTGTACTATTATAAGGTCTAAGTCTTGGTTTTATCTCATCTTAGGTAGATAAAGATTTTCCAAAAACACTTTTTAGAAATTAGCCAATTTTAGTTTGAACAACATGAATATAAATAATAGCCTTAGTTGTTCGAGATGTCCTCTAGTTGCTTTGCTATTTTCAATTAGGCTAAATCTTATTAGCAATATAGGTTTTCAAAACTTAAGCAATTCACATTAAAATGCATGATGGCTCTTGAAAACCTATAAGTATTTTATGGGGTGAAATGTTTATTTCTCTTTTTTTTTTTCTTTTTCTTTTTTGGGTTGATAACCTCATGCGTTTCTACCAGGTTTCAAGCTACCAATGGACTACTTAGAACGACTTGCAAGAGCATCGAAATCGAAAGTTGTAATATCTAATGAATTTTGTAAGTTTTCAATAATTTTTTAAAGTCCTTCAAAGGTGTATATGTGATAAGATTAAATTTGGAGTCTAATTATAATGAGATGAGAAGCCTAAGGACTAAGTTAAAAGAAACCTTTAGGTTGGTGATTTTGTTTTCAAAATCAGGATTGCCATCTACCTCTTGCAGGTAAAGCGAAACCCAACATAAAGGAAACTTGGCCATTCTTATGTGAATCAGAGGTAATTTGTCTCTTTAAGCCTCAATTTTGATGATTAGGGGCTGATGTGAGAGGGAAGTGAAGAGTTCTCTCCTTATTTTTTTGTAAATTGCTCCTTTGTCTCACAATTTCTTATAAACTGTAGAGAAGAAAGGGCACCAAAAGAAGGTTGCTATTGTCAAATTTAGCCAGAGTTAATTTGCTTTTCATGGTTGATGACATATTTAGGAATTAGGAAAGAGAAAATTAATGGGAAATTTTATCAAGTAGATTTTTAAAAATTGATGTTTAATTGTGAATGTGAATGGAGTTGGCATGAGAATTTTTCAAATGGGATTTTATTGAGTCTTTAGCTTCCACAAGGGCGTGTTAGTGTGGTTGAATTAGTAGAAGGGTTTATAGTTATTGTTATTAAATGATAGTATTTCACTGAATTAGATAGTTCGTTGCAAAGATAGAAAATTTGGGATTGTAATCTAAATTACATGTAATCATGAGCAAGCATTAAATTGGTTAAATAGTCAGAATGTTATATTTAAGCTCCAAGTTCTCAAAACATTTTGGCTGGTGGAATTAAAACTTAGTTATAAAATTTGATGTGGATTGCATGTGGTGGTGTTTTGGCTGGAACCTAATAAATAATGTATATATAATTAGGATCGATTTACACAAATCTTACACACTATACTTATACAAATCTTGACAATTTATCTCTCAAATTTAATGATTGAGATTTATTCTTTTTTATCATGTTTAATAAAGATAATTATCTTTTTTATCTAAAAATTAATGATGAATCTCAACTATTGAAGATGAAAAGATGAATGATCAAGATTTTGTGTAAGTTTGGTAGGTAAGATTTGTGTAAGTTTGGTAGGTAAGATTTGTGTGTTAAGGAGATCCTTACTTTTACATAAATTAAGCAATGGTGATGACATGGGTTTGAGTAATAGTAGCATGAACATCAATTATGCTAGTTATTTATGGATATAATTTTGCAGCTTCTTAAAGTCCTAAAGATCTTAAAGATTGAATCAATTCTTAGAGGGATATATGGGATGTGATAGGTTGTGTTATTGATTAACATTACCAGTGAAATTGGAGTTAGGAGAAATTATGTCTTTGGCTAGTGATCTTGGGTATTTGTTAGCATTTGTTAAAATTAGTGTATGTTTTCTATCTTGATAGGCTTTGGGTGAACTTGGATGGTTGCATTTGGCATCCGATTTAATCTAATTAGGTAAGTAGCTCAACCCTCTAGAGTTTTTTTTTTTTTTTTTGAGGAAAATGAAGTTATCTTATCTAAATGAGTTTTGAGCCATCTTATTTTAATTCTTTCTTGAATTAAATTTTATTAAATTATTTTTATCATGAAATGAGATGAATTGTAAGTTAACATATTCGTTTTGTTTAAAGTTTTGAGATGAGATTTTAGCTATTTGAAAATTGACTATTTTAAATTATTATTTATGATTACTTTTGAAATAGTTTTTATTTGTAATGATTTATGTTTTGTCCTGATTATATGACTAACCCTTGTTGGGTTAAGTTGATGGTATTGTGATTAGATTTGAGACCTATAGATTGTATATCGTGAAATAAGAATTGTGTATCGTGGGTTATGGATAGT